GAAATAAAAGCACAAAAACAGGAAACAAGTCCACAAACCATAACAGACATAGACAGATAGATACTTTATTGATCCAGAGGGAAAGTCAGGTATCCAGTATCTTCAGCAATAATTATCAAAACCACAGCAAGAAAGGTCGCAGTATGCTAAATTTCAGGACAAGCATAAAAAATGAGAATGTCCTCAGTACCTCTCTGCTCCCACCCTGAGTGATCAGCACAAGTTGCTAGCATTAAGCCATTAACAGGAACTCTCACTGCCTCATGAACCAACTCAGATGAACACAGTCAGGTTGACAGTACAGGGTGTTGGGTGCAAACTTTACTCAACCTCAGCATCAAACAAGGTCAACTGTGAACACAAGTAATTATTCAGATGTTTATCTTCTACAAATGCTAAAACAAAGTGACCCTAGCAGGATATGTTATCTACAATCCATAGTTTTCAGTAGGCTGCTTCACAGAAATGAGTGAGAGTGTCTGCTATAGGGTTAAACCTGTGCAGATAATAATGATAAACTCTATATTAAATGGCAAAAGTTCAGTCTATTTCCACAGAAAAAATGCAGAATATCCAGAAAAATCAGTGACAGGGAGCAAGTGCTGCTTATGTCATTAATGAAACAGTAGCTAGTAGCCATCTGGGAAACGGGTGCAAGTTCAGTTTGACCCTCCAAAGGACAAATCTCTGCCATGTTTGTCAAAAAATTGGGCCTATTTATTCTGCATTAGATGGCCTTATTCACCACTGATAGAGTGATACATCTGTTGTCTTTAATTTAATAACAAATTAAATGGTAACGGGTGATACAGTTTGACAAAGAAGCTAGGCAAGAGGCAAATAATGGATCCATGTTTTATTAACATATTTGGCTAATTTTCATAGAAATGAGCAGGATGATGTGGGGGTACAGAAAAATATAGCAGGAAAACAGATCTAAGAACAACCAGGCCTCTAGAGTTTGATCAAGTTGTTTACATGTCGTTCACTGTTGGTGTACAGTTTAATGAGATCCATGGAGGCTGAAGCAGTCTGATAAAAACATCTGATCGGCTCAGACAGTTCTCATTCTGAGTTTTAGAGATGAGCAAACACTAAGTGCATTTCAAGGTCAGGGAATTTCCCTCTTTCTATGATCAATTGCATTTGACTTTAGGAATGGATGAACCGTTAAATGTAACATATATAATTTTTGCACTTTCAGTGGGCATGTGGAGCTTCACAAATACAGATACCTTTATTTTATGGTTGTTTTTACCGTATATATTCTAATAATGTGCAGTAATTCTACTATTGTGTACCTGATCTGGAACCACAGTGATCTCCATGAGCCTATGTACATTTTCATTGCAGCCTTGTTACTGAACTCTGTTCTTTTCAGCACTAATATTTACCCAAAGCTGTTGATCGACTTTTTATCTGAAAAACAGATCATATCTTATCGAGCCTGTCTTGTTCAGTTTTACATGTTTTATGTTTTTGCTTATTCAGAGTTCTTACTGTTGGCAGCCATGGCCTATGATAGATATGTGTCTATATGTAAACCTCTGCAATATTCTACTATCATGAGAAAAAAAACTGTTGTTATCTTTCTGGCTTTATCATGGCTGTTACTGGCATGTTATCGTGTGGGATCAGTAACTCTGACCGCTAATCAAAAGTTCTGTAGCTTTACTCTTGAAATGATTTTTTGCAATAACTCAATTTTCAAACTTTTTTGTGTGCCCTCAAGTGCAGTGTCTTTATATGGTGTGTTGTATTTCCTATGGTGTGTTATTTTTCCTCTGTTGTTCATACTTTTCACATACAACAGGATATTTATAATATGTTACCACAACAGTGGAGAAGTCAGGAGCAAAGCTGCACAGACCTGTTTTCCTCACCTGCTGGTGTTAATCAACTATTTCTATTTGTTAGTATGTGGTCTTATTACAGCTCGAATCGAATCTGATATTTCAAACACTGCACGTATAGTAATGAATTTACAAATCATTTTGTATAATCCTCTTTTTAACCCAGTTATATATGGACTAAAAATGAAAGAAATTCATAAACACCTCAGCAGGTTATTACGTCTATGTAAAATGAACTGATGATCTCTACACTGATAACCTGTTATGTAATAACAATGCAGAAATGTCTGATCCCTGGAAAGTATTTCATGTTAGGTTTTACTATGATTCCTGATCCACAGTAAAGTCACTTTCAGCTTGGAAAATGTGATGCCTGGTCAGTATTCTACCATTACTTGTCAGGGAGGTGAAAATACAGCTGCCGTGGTGGTGGAGTTGTGAACCCATTTAAAGAGCCAGTAAGCTGGAATAGCACAACAGGTTTTAATAATCTCCTCAGGAACAGAGTCAGATATACACAGTACCAATCTGAAGGGCTTAGGCAGAGAGCAGTACTACTTAGTTTGGTCCACGGTCGGTATCTCCAGCAGGGCAGTAGGGAAGGCAAGGCAGAATTTCTAGTGGTTAATGCAGGCAAGATGTCGTTACCAAGAAAGCAGTCCAGTAAGAAGGGGGTAGTGGCTAAAAATAAACAAGGTTTCAGAGGTAACAGTATGTAGTTCATATTTAGATATTATTTGTGATAGTTGTGTAAAGATGTAAAGCTGAGCTAAGTGTGTATGGAAGCTTGATCTGTTTCTGGCGCAAGCAAGAATATCTTGGGCTGTGTCCCCCTTGTTTAACCTATGGGTCAACATCCTGAGTGACTTTCTCTTCAGATAGGGAATGGATATACTGTAGTTGTAGCCTTATGTGAACTGTTCGTGTGCTCTGTTCAGGTTTAGAAAAAGGAGATGTGCACTAGGTCAATGTGACCTAGAAGTTCATGTACTGGACAGTTTAGACAATGCTCGGAAGAAGGTGTGTGGGTAGCTGGCATGGGACCGCGTCTTCATGGCTCAGGCCATGGAAGTCTGTATGAGTGCGAGCCGATAAAAAGCTGAGTTAGAAGAGAAGAGGAGAGAGGATGACAATGCTACTGTGACAGGGAGAGTATACTTTGTGGGGGTACACTGACCCAGCCGGCTGGGGGGATGCTGAATTAAGACTGACGGTACCTCGTGACAACAACTGACTGACTGTACCTTGTAACCAGGACTGACTGGTGCTTTTGACAATCTTCGTATTTAATACTTTATCTATCACATTGCAGGAGGAGAGTCTCTGTTTTCTGTTTCCCTAACTACAAGATTATCTGTTTAAATACTGCTCTATTCAGAATAATTGTAATATTAAATGATCCATTAAATTGGGATGGTTTGTCTGAATTCATTTAGTCAGCATCACACTCTAGCCACGTCAAGGGTGAGGCAGAATCTCAGGTTGATAGCACAGGCAGGGTGTCGGTATCCAGATAATCAGGCAGAAAGAATGCTGGAGAGTCTAGTCGAGGCATAGAACAATCTGGCAGCTCCCCACAGAGTGAGGAGCTGCTATATATTGTAAGGAACAGGTGTGAACGATTAAGTAGCAGGTGAAACTAATCTGAACGATGACATGAAGTTACCGGAATGCAGGGTGAGCTGGGGACAGGAAGCAGTAAAGAATAAGAGCGTACTTGCAGGAAGTGAATTAGGCAGAAACATGACATTCCTCAAACATCCATGATTTATGTGAATCAAAATATTCATTTAGAATGTTTCATCTTGCCTTAAATAAACCGTACACATCCTGGACACTAGTAATGATATACAACTCAGTCAGCAAATTGACATGGGGATCAGTGGTTATGTCAGTGTAGAACATGTACAGCATTAATGTTTGGTCTTTAGACTCTGACCTCATCACTCCTCACAAGGAAACATCATGGTCGACTCAGCAGACAAAGGGGAAAGACGGTACTATACAGCAGACTGTTCCACGTATATTGGAGAACCTGCCACAATTTGTCTGTGAATTTAGGCTGCTTCAGTGTCTTCAGGCTCTTCATGTAGTCCCACTTTGACTCAGTAATGTTGAGATTGAAAAAAGATTTCTGAAATATAAAGCCTCCATTGTCACTTTATAGACTGGAGTCAAACTAAAAGACTTCACCTGACTAGTTCATTTAAAAGAGAAACAAGCAAACTTCAGAAAGCAACAATAAGCACGACAATCACAGCTACTAATCAAAAATAAAAGATAATAATTGTAATAACTGCACAACTGTCATACTTGTCCCCTGAGCCCGGGAATCACAACTTTTCATCTCAAGCCGATTTGATCAGAATTGGAAATCCAAAATTTTATGACCCAGGGTCAGAAAACTGAGCCAGATTTTGTCCCAGTATATCAAAGCTATGAAGGACAATACACCCTGATCCAGACTTTTCATAGTTACCATATTCTGAATAATTGTTTTAACCCTGCCTATTTTCACCCAGTGGGTAGGAATAACATCAGGAAGACAGTATCATAATTCAGAGCCATTTAATGGTAATAAATAATTTTTTTCCAAGTAGATACCAATTACTTAAAATCAAAATGGATTTGCAAAATAAAATAATAATAATAATAATGATGATCCAGGCCCACCAGTGGACTTTCCTCTAAATCAGAGGAAGTGGTCACGTAATGGGAGATGCTGCTGTCCACAACTACTTTTGAAGGTTGACTACAAACGATGGACTTGTGCCTTTTTTGTTTAGTAAAGTTACATTTGAAATTGACATAATTTTGTTGAGATAACTTTATGATCACCAATTCCTTATTTGGTTGAAGATGCTGTTCAGAGAGGCCACTGCAAATCTGTGGAGGTACTGACGGAGTTCTGCATGTGCCGATTCTGTTTGGGCCTGTCATCACCAGCACCAATAATAATTAATGATAGAACAACAATAGTAAATGAATCTAACTAAAATCTTCCACAAAAAGGAAAGTCTTAAGTTTAGTCTTAAAGGTAGAGAGGGCGTCTGTCTCCTGAACTGAGATTGGGAGCTGGTTCCACAGGAGAGGAGCTTGATATCCACACACAGTTAGTGATGCGTAATTAAATTTTCATTAGATTAAAGTCCAGCATCATATCAGGTGCGTTTCCACTGTGGGAACCCAACGAGCAGTATTTGGTAAGTGGTTGCTATAGGAACGTGCTGTAGTGTCCACAAGTCCAAAGTAGACATTTTGAAAATGATGCTTCATTCTGAGGGAATATTCATAATTAAAACATTAGACTTTGATTCTAAGCACTAAGAGCAGCTGGAAGACTGCCACATGCAAACCGCTGTTAGACACCAGTTCTTTAATTGAAAGCGTGAGAAGTGAAGACAGAAGAGTGTAAGTTTTGATTCTTATAGACTCTAGTTACTTTATAAGCTTTAGTTACTTCTCATACCTTTAGTTCCCTTTAGTTATGTTTCATAACTTTATCTTACTTGTTTATGTATATTACAGCTGTATTGATGATTGTCCAGAACTACTGAGCTTTGGTTATTTTAATGCATTTGTTTCCCTTGCTTATATATCTTACAGCTGTAATGAAGCAGAATCTGCTTACTTTGAATGCTGCAAGTTCTGTGTAGAGACTAGATGTCGGCATCTCTTTGTGACCAGACAGCCAATTCACATTTTAACAAAGACAAGTTGGCTTGTTTTGCACCCACACCTAGACCCACTTAGCATATTCCAGTGTAGATCACATTCCAGCAAGGAGGTGTGAGCTCCTGCTCACACCAAATGACCAATAGGATTACAATGCATGAATTGTTGTACCTTTGTTTAGGGCGGAGCAGCCCAAGAAGATAAAATGTATTGTAAGACCTTAATTCGGGGTCAGTGGATGGAACTCCTGCGGGAGCTCTATCTCTCTGATCCCAGCACTGTAAGGCCTACCTGTGATCAGACATCCAGTAAAATTTCTGCTGATTTTAAACAGTCCTTTCCTGTCGTTACTTCTCGTGCTTCCAACAAAAGAATTGGGTCAGTTTCTAACAAATGGTGCCGTGACCTCGATGGAACGACTTCGAGCTAGTGTCGGACAGGGGACTGTGTGAGATCGGCGGAGAACTGAGGATGCGCGATCTACGGAAGTACTTCTTCAGACAATTTGCCAGCTGGCATTCATAAAAACAGGTAAGCAAAATGTCTTTTCTATAATATAAAGAAATTCTGCACATTGGGCACTCTAAAACGCTGAATTGTCTGATTGAGGATCTTCCCCGATCGGTAAAGCATGTTATCCTTGTCTAAAGTCTGATTACATGTAATGTCTCATCCACATAGCCTCAAGTGAGGGAGAATTCATGAGTGTCCTAGTCTTAGATCGACTGGCTTTATAAAAGACGTAAAATCCATCACAGGAATGGATAACCACTGAGGGTTGTCTTACAAATTTAATAGGACATTTGATACTATTTAATTCCAGGTTTTATAAAATAAAGCCTGAAGCCGGGAACGAGCCCCGTTGCTGGGAATGCGCCCTGTTGCCACTAGAGTTAGCGAAGTCACTTTTATGTGAAGTTTGGTTAAAGTTAAATTATCAATGAGGACACAGGGACAAGTTTGTTGTGTTCCATAATTGTTGTGGGGTGGTTTCCTACTTGAAAGAGATTTTCGACTGTCTTGAGAAACAGCGTATCAAGCAGCTTCCTGTTTGAGAATTCCTGTACTCATTACAGCTCTCAAGTAGTTCTGTTTTGGGGGGCATTGGAATAGCAGTTTGGGATTACAGAGTACAGTATTGCAAGTTTTGGTGTCTAAAACAAGTGATTTGACTGGGATACCCTCAACAGCCAAGCGCACAGAATCTCTGTGTAGAAGATTCTTGGCTGGATCGGTCACGTGGGCGCTGCGCCATTCATCGAAACTTGTTGATACATGTTTGTCTAATTTTCTGCTATGGCACTAAATATATGTGAACGGTGGAAAGAGAGCAAATCCAACACTCTGGGGTCGGTACTGTATGTAGCGGCAATGAGATGGCTAAGGAAGGTTCTTAAGGAAGACAAAGGGAAAGAATTAGAAAGATTTACTTGTTGGGTGGAAGATATGCAAGACAGGGGGATGTTTGGAGACTGTGAAGGCACTGCGCCTGAAGTGAGTGATTTAACGCTGTTTTTGAAGCAACCTCCAATGAGCGCTGAACAGCGTAAAAGAAAAGTGTGCGA